TAATTCCTAGAAGAAGAAAAATAGGATATAGAGCTCCTAAACCACTAGAAGGAGAAAAAAAAAAAAAAGGAAGAATGGAAACTTGACATATTCTGCAAAACACAAGAATAAGGAAATATTTTGAGTACCGAGAAGGCTTAAAAAATTCAAAGGCAGGATATGATCTGAGCTGTCCAACACAATGGCCATGACCCACATGGGGCTATTACATTTAAATGAATTAAAAATGAATAAAATTTAAAAGTCGTCTCCTAAGTCACACTGGTCACAAGTGGCAAGTGACCTCTGTATTGGACATTTCCATCACCGCAGAAAGGTCTAGCAGACAACACTCACAGTGCAAAATACAACGTAATATGAGTCTATGTAAAGTATGATCCTATTTATGCTAAATATACATTTATATATACCTATAAACAGATAAATATAAATGCAAATTGTTAGTGGAAAGTAATAGATAACAAAAGCGTCTGTGTATAAAGTGCGACCTTATTTATGTAAATATGTGTGTAGGTGTATATATATGTATATAAATATAAATAAGTCTGACTTGATTACACTGTCAATAGTGGTAGCTCTTAGAAATGAGATGATGGGGGCTTTTACTCTCCATATACTTTACTGTTTGCATTTATTATTATTATTTTTTTTTCTTCAGTATGTGGGCCTCTCACTGTTGTGGCCTCTCCCGTTGCGGAGCACAGGCTCCAGACACGCAGGCTCAGCGGCCATGTGGGATCTTCCCGGACCGGGGCACGAACCCGCGTCCCCTGCATCTGCAGGCGGACTCTCAACCCCTGCGCCACCAGGGAAGCCCTGTTTGCATTTTTAATAAGCATATTTTACAGGACAATGAGTAAAAGTCATTTACATATTTTCAATGGGAGTAACCGCAAACCAACCAACCAACCTCTTTCTTGAACTTGGTACAGAACCAGGTTCCAACCCCAGGGTTAACCCAGTAACTAACTCGAACTCGTAAATATCTACTGTGTACACTCAGGTTAATAAACAATTTCAAGATGGCACAGTAGGTGGCCTATACTTGGAGACTTTCTAGAGTTTAGCCAAGCTCTGCAAGAAGTTTGTTCTGGGCCTCAGGGTGATGTCACCCTTTCAGATGTTAAGCCTGAACCGACATTTGATACTTTTAAATGTCATTCCCTAAACTGGGAGGTTGCTTGAGCAAAGGCTGTTAGCTCACCTTTCCATTTAGATTTTTATACTATTGATAACAGATCACGTTTCAGAGGAACAGCTCTGAATTAGCCCTTAAGTTTTCCAGGACAAGAAAAATCTCTGGAGAGTTACAGTAATTTTTTGCATCTTCCCACCGACTCTACAGTTGACTAAGGAGAAGTTCCCACTGCCCATCTCAACAACAGATAAAATCAGAACTAACAACACAGTGCACACAGAATAACTTCCATTTTTCCTCTTTAAATTGGGGGTAAGAAAAGAGAGGTTAGGGTCTCTGTGCAAAGAATTCTAAAGTTTTAATTTTAATCTTTCCCAAATACCGATCTTTAATTTTTCTAAGAAAAATAACTTATTTAAAATGTCTGGGAATACCCCTCAAATACCAAAACTACTTCAGATCTACCCCAGGGAATAATTTGGTCATTTTTCTGCCAACATAGGCACCTTCATATATGCTTATTTTATTCCCTATGTAAATATTCTTGGTAGCTGTCTCTATTCACCTCAGTGAATAATGAGGGCAAGGCTCCCTGCGTGAAAAGGAGATGAAACACATCAGTTCATCCAGGAACTATGCATTCTGCAAGCCAGTGTTGGTAAAGCAAGGAGAGAGATTTGCCAACTTGAATGCTAATTTCATGTAGGGCCAACTGTGTGCTCCCGTTTCCAGCATGGGGCAGTAACTATGCTTAATGCGGGGTAAGCAGGCTAAGAGATAAAGACCAGGACCCACTCTATTTTACAAACTGGAGAAGACGCAGATCAACGGAGCAAGGAGAAGAAGACAGGTGAAGGTAATTCTTACCTATGTAGACAGATTACCTTAGAACATTTTTTTGGGGGGGAGGGGAGGCCCACGCTGCGCGGCAGGCAGGACCTTAGCTCCCTGACTAGGGATCGAACCCATGTCCCCTGCAGTAGAAGTGCAGAATTCTAACCACTGGCCTGTCAGTCCTATCTTAGAACTTTTAATATGCTTTAAAGTTTTCAAGTTCCCTCAAACGCTTTACAAAGACACACTTCCCCTAACTGTAAATCATGTGCTCAAGCAATATTTAAAGCATGTTTCTCGGTAATCCTCTGTCGGTCTACTTCTAATTGCTGCATATCGTTTGAAGATAATAAAGCTACACTTTTTTGAATTTAGTCTTGCTAATTAAAATGGACAATCCCTGCCCTCCCCCATGATTTTTAGAATTCATGAAATCTGAGTAGTGGTGTGCCACTTTCATACTTGGGCGGACCAAAAAGTTAAACGAAGAGCACATTTTCCACAAAAAATAAGATACAGAGATAGTGAGATGCAAGTATTTTATAATATGTCAGCCATTGCTTTTAACTGAACAAAAGTCATATTTCATTTATGGACTTCTGGCATTATCCACAAAATGAAATACCTATTTTAACTCATAAAATAAAATTCTACAAAAATGGAAGAAAAGCATACACAGTAGTATTTACATTGTGCGGACAAAAGAGTCTAATTTGGTAATTTCCTTTTCCCTGAGGCTCCAGTTTTAATATGTCTAAGACAGCCAGTAAATACATTATACTCAATAGTGTGGGTGAATTAATTCTTATAGGCCACAAGGGTACTATTTAGTAAATGACTGCTTTGTGTACTGACCCATACCTAGTGGCCTCAAAGTGGTAACTCACCTTTAAAAGGTAAAGTGTGTACATACCCATTCCTCCAAAGCCTCATTATTTGTCACCTGATTAAACTGGTGGAATGAAGAGGCCAGGTGTCAAAAAGAGGAGTCCTTCAAATTTTAACAGTTACAAACTTGAGCTACTTAAGAAAAAAATCTAGGTTTCCACTGAGCCATATCATCAGTACCCGAGCCAAATAAAACACAATTACTCCCCCAAATTTGGCACACAGCATCTGAATTCAAATCCAGAAAAGAAGTCCAACTAGCACAGCAACTTGGATTTTCACTAATCTCCTTACATTTTAATAGACTACAATAAACCCATTACAACCATTTCTTCCTTCTAGAAGCTGAAATCATGTTATCTGTTCTTGGTGAAAACCTTTCAGTCCACTGAGCAGCTCTAATTTTGAGTAACTGTGCTAACATATAATTAATGTGCCCATGTACAAAACTGAAAATGTCTGAAGAAGGCATGGAGATGCTTCTGGGTGCTAATCTGGGAACTTCACACAGCCTCCTGCAAGCTTCCCGGGGGGCAGGTCCTGATCAATGGGTACACAGATGACTAATTCTCTGTACCATGGACATTCTTGACTGTATAAGCAAAGAAGTACATAATCGAACCTTCCAAAGGATGAAGAACAACAAACAGACATTACAGTGGAGAAGGCAGACGTCCAGGGCCTTTGCCAGAAAGACAGGAGCTAAAGTTTTTTGGGTAATGCAACATATTTGCATCTGGGCCCATTGCTGGCACCAGGGCCACTGTTTCAATAACATATCTATATTTAGCTATCTATCACAGACAAATTTCTATCACTGCACAAACAGAAGTCGAGCTCAGATGTCTGCAGAGTTTCCTTTCCTCTCTTAAAAAAAAAACATTCTAGACCAGACTGATAACATTCTGTACTTGCAGCTGCCACTGAAAAATATTCATGCCAATGAAAGATACATTTAGTCAGCTTTTCTTTTTCTTGATCTTTTAATATTTTATAACACATTAAAGCTCAAAGTTCCTTTCTTAAACAAATCTTCAAGCAGACGTTAAATAGAATGCAAATACTTTACACTTTAAATCATCAATCATTTAAAGAATCCTCTCCATGAACTGAATAAATAAGCCATCTGTGACTACGGCCTCCCTATCATGTTTTTAAGCTGACCCACTTCTTCCCCGGTCACCATGGTTTGTAAAATCTCACTTCTAAGGGGATGAGTGCTCGGTGCCAGCTCATAGTTCGCATTCAACTCGGTAAAAGGGTAACGTAAACCCCAGGCAGCATTTAAAATGACCTCCTCTACCTACAAAAACAGAACTTCAATACCCCCCCCCCACCGGAAGCAATCTTTTCTCCAACCGGAGAGCAAATCAAGTCTGCGAGGGAGAAAATGAGCCAGTTAAAGGAGGAAGAAACCTGATCAGGTGTTAAAACGCATGGCTCTGGACATCAACCAGCAAGCAGGATCGGGTCCGGTCGGCGGGAGCTGCTCCCCAAGACTGAGCTGAAATCAAGGTCGGACCCGCTTCTAGAGATTCTGACCCACTTCTAGAGATGGGACCCGCTCGGCGGCGGTGAACCTGCGCGTCCCCAGGAGCCTGGCCGGGACCCCCGGCGCCCCCGGCCCGGCCCGGCGCGGGGCGGGGCGGCCGGGGCGGCACAACTTTCCGCAGCTCCCCGCCAGCGGCGCCGAAACGGGCAGGCGCGAATCTCAAGCCGCTCCCCGCCATCAGCGGCTCTTTTCTCCCGGTGGTGGTGGCGGCTGGGGGAGGGGTGGGAGGACTTCAGGAGAGGATAACAAGGAGCGGAGAGAGGAGGACCACTTCCCACCGGCCAGGCCGCCACAAAGGGAAGGGCGCCGCGCCCCCCTCGGTGTCACCGAGTCTCACGCCTGAAGGGATGGGAACGCGCGAGGGCCGGCGGGCCGCGCGGCAGGTGACAGCGGCGTGGCGGGTCCCCGCGCCTCCCCGCCCACCCGGGGCCTCGCCTCCGCCGCGCGGCTCCGCGAGCGAGACGCGCCCCCCGGACCTCCCGCCGCCCGTGAGCCCCGCGAAAGCCACGCGGGGGGCCGCCCGCCGCTCAGCGGTGCGGCCGCCGCGCCCCGGAGCCGGCGCCCGCGAGGAGCCCCGGGCGCGCCTACCCCTTGGCGTGCTCCGTCTCCTCCTCATTGTCCCCGTCGATCCCGCACGTGTCCTGGTCGTCCAGCTCCAGGCTCTGCTGGCTTGCCGCGGACTCGCTGTCCTCCGCCATCGCGGCGGCGCGGGCTGGGGCGGCGCTCCGGGAAGCTGGCGATGAGGGCCGGCGCAGCGGAGGCGGCGCAGCGAGCAGCTCCCTCTAGCGCCGCCCGCCGTCTCCTCAGAGCCCGAGCCGCAGGCGTGCCCGCCCCTCCTCGCCCCGCCCCTCCTCGCATGGCTCCGCCCCGCCCCCCGAGCCCGCCCCCTGCGGCCCGGTTGGGTGGCGGGCGGTCCGCGCGCCCCCGCGGCCCGGGGTAGGGAGCGGGCGGGGCGGAGGGTAGTAAGGGTGGTCGCGACCCGCTGCGCGCAGGAGCGTGGTCCTGGATCCCGGCCGGTGCCTGAACCCTGCTCTCGCCTCTGAATGGCGCAACCTGAAGACCCCGAATCCTGAGTCTTCGTTTTGGGAGCACAGGCAACGCGATTTTACATCTCTTCGTATTAGGAAGACTTTTAACTCTTTGCAGGAAATTCTTACTCAGGGGTAGGCGTGCCAAGACCACTGGTTTCCAGAACCCTAACCCCCGCCCTTCACCCCATCCCCAACCACGTACGCTTTGTAAAAGTTCCATTTCATATGTCGCTGTCTTTCCAGTATACTATAAAGTCAAAGCCAGAGTCAAAACAGAGTGCTTCCAGCCTTCCCGCCTCTCCGTTCCAACGAGACTCGCAGCCCTAAAACTCTTGACAGAGAAAAATGTGGAACTGCCCCTGTTTTTGCTGGACGGCTTAGACCACAACCATCTTTGGGGAAATGGGACTTGTCCGTGATGCTGGGGTCTTGGACAGTGTCAGTGAGCGAGGCCACTCTGGCGTCCTCAAGTGAAGGTTATGACCTAGACCTCCGAGCAAAAGTGGGTGGCCTTCTAGGCTCAGATGGTCCCGTTTCTCCCCCCGTGAACGCAGGAGGGGAAGGAGGCACCCCGAGGATTGCCAAATAAAACGCGGGTGAAGTCCAAACTCTTATTTGCTGTTGCAGTCTGTACACCCCGGTCCCTTCCTTTGTTCTCCTTTCATGAGCAGAGTTCAAGGTCCCACTGGGTCATGGGAAGCCTACATGGCTTTACAAAGGCAGTGGAAAGATAGTTATCAGAAATGCTCAGGGAGGAAAAAAGAGGCTTTTAAAAGCCACCCGAAATTTTTGGTGCGGGTCCTTTTTTTTGCAAAAGGCATTGGGAGCATTTTGGGGCTCCTTTTTTTCCCCACAAGCCAGACCGTGCCCTTAAAATACGGTAAGATAGGAGTATCTAGAGACAAAAATTGCAGAGCTATTTCAAAGTTCACCAGACTTTTATGACTGACTGAGGTTGAGCCAGCAAAGGTTCTGTAAGAAGTGCAAAATGGGGCGAAACCACGAAGGAAATACAATGCTTTCTTTCACAATTGCAATGATTTCTGAGGCAGAAAGTCACATGTGGCCTCTAGCTTCAAACTTTAGGCAAATATAGATCAGTGAATTTCCCGCTGCTCGTCCCTGTGAACGGGAAGAGTTGGCTAACGGTAACCTGGTTGGGTAGTCAGCAGGACGCTGCAAATCTATCCCATCAGTTGCTATAGCCTATTGGAAGGGTTCTCTAAAATGTTTTAAAAATACAAAGCCGCGTCAGCAGACACGTATTATTTATATGAATTCTCAAGAAATTTTGACTGAGAACCTCTCAAAAAGAATAAGAAAACAAATAATCCTGGAGAAATATTAAAATGAGGGTATCAAAAACCAGTTAAGGGCTTCCCTGGTGGCGCAGTGGTTGAGAGTCCACCTGCCGATGCAGGGGACACGGGTTCATGCCCCGGTCCGGGAGGATCCCACATGCCACGGAGCGGCTGGGCCCGTGAGCCATGGCCGCTGAGCCTGCGCTGCGGAGCACAGGCTCCGGACGCGCAGGCTCAGCGGCCATGGC